GCAATCCAGAACTGTGGCATTAGATGAGACAGAGAAAGGTTGAAAGGGCAACGGAAAACTTCTACCTGGCTAAAAACCATTCAGCATTTTCTCTCTCTGTTAACGTTTCCTTGCTTATGATTTAACTTTGTACTGTTTCAAACACCTCTTTTAAGGTACAAGGCACAGCATTAGTTTAGGACAATGATCTCAACTGAGACCAAACCAGAAGACACTTTTTTTGCTGTGGCTTTCAGGTAATGACCTTTTGCTGAATTACACCACAAGGTCCACATAGACTCTTTCATCCTCTACTTATTACGGATCACACTAAAAAGAGCCTCCTTTAGATTCAGAGTCTCAAAGCATTGATAATAGGCAAAAGCTGGAGGTGGGTCTTGGTGAAAGCAAGCTGCTGTGGCTTGTACTCAAATGTTTCCTCCAAGTACTGCCCTCCCTCCCCAGCTTCCTCTACTCTCAGCTGTAGTAAAAGGCTATTTTCAGGGATATTCTATCTTTATGTGTCGCTGTCAGTTTAGATAACTTCCTAGAAGAGCTAAAAAACAACTCCCAGGAACTTCAGAAATTCCAGAAAGCCAACAGGCTCTAGCTTTGTGCTGGAAAAAGAATTCCCTGCTAGAGAAGCAATAATGCCATAGTGCTGCAGTACAATTTTCCTGCAGGATTTTCACTCTGCCTAGCCTGCTGTTCCTTTTGCTGCCCTGGATTCTGGGCCAGAATTATTATTGGTTTCACCTACTGGGCCCTTCTGCAATGTCTGGGAGCAGCTGGCAGCAGAGGAAAGCACATCCCAATTCCTTTCCCGTCATAATCACAGATTATGAAAACTCCTCAGTGAAAAAAGAAAATTCTATTTTACAAACCTTAAGCCCAGCATGCTAAAGTGCTAAGCTCTGCAGTTGCTGGTACAGAAGGGCATTAAAGCAGTGCAAAGCCTTTGGGGCAATCCGGCCCAGAGCAGTTAGGGCCTGAAGGCAGAAAGGGCTCTAAATTTCGGCACGAGGTTTTTCTGAATCAGGGCTCGGAGTTAGAGCACACCTGCATACACATCCGCGTGGCAACGCTTCCCCAGCAGGTAAGCACAGGGAGGGGGCACATCAGACACGACTGCGGAGGATGGCTGTTAAAACCTGCTGGCAGAGACAGGAACGCACTCCTGCAGCATCCCACGGTGGCCCTCACCGACTGACGGTTTGTTCTGCCTTTCTGCACTGTTTACAGTGTTCTCTTGCTGCGGCTGTCTGGTCGATAGCAGCCGATATGGTGGCAGTAGGTGGGGAAGGTGGCCAGGTGAAGCAGAAAGAAAACGGAACAAAAATCCATTAAAGCTCCCGCACGCGGTCCAGCCTAGCGACACCTGACCCGGGTTTGGCTCAAGGCAACTCTTAGTAATGAAAGCGTGGCTTTAGAAGGCAAATCACTGCTGTTACCCGAATGGATGCTGATTAATCTGCTACTGCTTTCTTGTGTGGTCAAACCTTATTTACCTTTCTAACCTCCAGATTCTCATTCTATAACCATGGCATGTGACAGAGGCTGCAATTTATCTCTCTTACTTAGAGCAGTGTGGGAGTTTCTTGTGTTTAGCACAGGCCACTCCAGCCCTTTGGCAGTCTCAAGGTCATTTTGTAGTCCTCCATTCCTGCTGTATTGCATCAGGAAGGTCTACGCCCAGACAAAAGGTAAAAGCCCATACATCCTTTATTTGAGCATTTCACAAATAAATTACAAGTTTCTTTGCAACCACGTCATAAATCAAAACGTTTATTTACACCTCAGAAACAGCAAGCAATTCAGCAACTAGGGCCCAAAGGAACGATTGACTGGAAAAGTAGCTGAATTAAGTATCTTTAAAATCAAACAAAAAATTTTCCTCCTTGCTTGAACTTTAAAAAAAGAAAGAAAATCATTAAAAAAAAAAAATAAAATCTTAGTGGTAACTTAGAGAAACAGAGTTTGTTATGGGATAAATATGATTTTCCAGGAGGGTTCTGGCTGAAATGGCAGTAACAACACAGCTTGTTTGTACCGAATTCACCATCACAGTCCACCAGACGTTCTCTTATTCCCCAGTCCCAGGCAGGGTGTGGGCACCTACATACACAGGCTTTAGACTATCATTTTAACCCCAAGTCATCGAATACAATCATTGGCTGATGCGGAGGAGGAGTGCGACGTTCAGAGGGTGGATGAAACTTTCCCAAAGAGCTGTCCCACTGAAAGCACAGTAACGCAGAATTCTGGCTATAAACCCTTCCCTTTCCACTACTGGTGACCTGCTGATACATAGACAACTAAAAATAGGTCAGTAGAAGATTATGTGTATCTTCAAATAATATAATTGTGTTAAGAGGGGACAGCTAAAGGTAGCGTAAATACAACATGAGAGTTGGGATAAGCCTGGGTTTTAGTGTGAGTTTTTCTGCCTTTTTTCTGTTCTCTAAATCGGACTGGTTTGGCATATGTAACCCATGCTGTCCCTTAACTCATGTATTCATAATTCATGGAATTAAACTGCTTATTCCAAGTCCCCATGTTGTAGTGATCTCCCTCCATCTGTATATATTATTATATATATATATATTTATATGTGTATGTGTATATCTCTATATATCTACATATATACACACACATAGCAATTGTGCAAATAGTAACTTTCCACTGAGAGTGTACGAGTGTATTCATTTCATTTGGACAACTATAAATCAACTAGTGTATCTTGAAGTGAGGCAAGAGAACAGTGTAGTCAATGGGTTATGTGTTTTACACAGTAAAATAGCCAGTTATCTCTGCTTTCAATAGAATAATGATAATTACTAATGTACTTTGCATGTTAATTCTAAAGATTATGGATCACAGAATTAATTGAAAGAAAATAATTGCTATTTTAGTTATTTTTTTTGTTAGCATTGGACAGTGTATCTCTCGGACAACAATTTCTAGAGATGTAATAAAGGGAAGATAGGATCAGAGTTTTGCCTTAGACTTGGTGTTCTCAAGTTGATGTGACTTTAATATAATTTATCTTGTGGTTTGGGTTTTTTTTTTTTTTAATTAACTAAGACATTATTAAATCCATTCAGAATGAAAGTTAGCCTGTAGACAAACAGTGATGTAAAAAAAACCTATTTGTGTACAAACTTCTGCTATGTTTCAAGTGGCTGAGTGTATTAGTAGCAATTGAGAAGAAGATTGGCAGCTTTCTCAGTATTTCAAACGGGAGGTTTTTGCAAAGGAAGGACGAATGATGTAAAAGTTGTTAATATAACGTATGTCTCATTTTTTTGTAGTGAAAAAACACTTAAGCTAGGGCCCTACAAACCGACTGTAAAGTCCATAATTTAATAAATGAGGTTTCTATTGCAGTGATCCCTAACCTAAATGACTATGCAAGAGACCAGGACAAATGATTTGACTACGGGCCACAGCCACTTCAAATGAAGGCTAAACCAAATGATGCTGGGTGCCTTAGAGACATGGTAAAGTGGTCGGTGAGGGAAGCGAGTCATCTGTGGGAGGCATCTAAGCTGTAGGTTTCTCTGTATGTCACAAAAGACAGACTTTCAATAATATATAAGCACTCAACAATCCTGTGACAAATATTGCTGCTTTACTGTTCACAGCAGACCAGTAAAAGCAATATGTTGGGAGGTTTAGGTGAAAAATTTCATCTAAATATGATTAACGGAATCTCAAACAATTCTAGTAATGGAATTGCTCTTTGATTTACACCAGTGTATATGCGATGAGAACAGGGCTCAGAAAGTGTATTAGCCAGTGTTCCACTCTTACCTAATTTTCCTCGATACCCAGTAGGAAATTCAGCTTGTTTCCTTTTGTTTTAATCTTCAGACCTACAGTTACTGAACAAAATGTACATTAATAAATGCACATAGGCTTAGTGTAAAAGCACACACATGAGGTGTACAGACAAGGGTTCAATTAGCAAGTACACCACAAACGAGACCTTTGTCTTGCTAATAAACTCCTCCCGCTGTTTGCTATACCCGATTTGTGTTTTAACAGCAGATACTCTTCTTAAGTGAAATGATTTTTGCACAAGACATTTTGTGCCCATTGCAGAATGAAAATCAACAAGTTCACTGCCTTTCTGATTCCAGACAGCATTACATGTCTACAAACATTGACTGAAATAAACGTTATAGTGACCAAAATAGCTAGGTAGAAATAAATGCCATGTTATAAAAACAGCAAGCTTGGCTGAACAAAGGTTAAACATAATTAACTATTAAAAAAAAAAAAAATGACAACCACTTTTGTAACTAACTTCTCTACATTTTCGTTGTAGAAAAACTAATAAATTATTGTTGCTCCTTTGTTTCAGGCAATGGGCATCATTTTTAGAGCCAGAGCCGACAATCTCAATCAGGTAGGAAAACTCAGATTTTGATAAGGTTCCTCACTTGTATAACGCTACAGAAAGTGCCACAATCTCTTGTTAAAGAGGGTTTGCTCTCAGGTAGAGAGAAACATTAACATGGCAGCTTGATCTTCTCTTTGCATGCTTAGGTAGTCCAGTGATTAGCTCCATCCGAAGCCTAGAGACACACAGTAAAGGCCGAGAGGCTTTAATCTGGGTACAGAAATAAAGTGATAATGGTGAATGAAGGCTTCGAAGCATCTTGATTCAGTTTCAGCCATGACACTGACCTCTCTACATGTCAAAAGGTTGCGGTATTATCCAAGGAAAAGGATCTCTTGTCCTTGGGCACAAAGTGGTACAGTCTTCCCATTGTTAGTGTAGTTTCAGGCAGAAGAAATTTTTCTTTGTTTCTCATTTTGGATGCCCTTGGAATGATCCATCAAATGCTACGTGAGCCTTGGGTTAAAGGAGAAAAGGGTGGCTTTATCTGGTACTTGATAGAAATGACACTAATGCAAATGGGTGTCTTTCCAGAGGTGGGTTTTGCTGCATAGAGAGAGGAAGAAAGCAAGTAGAAAAAGAGTATTTGTGGGGGAGGATATTGTAATTTCTTTTATTCAAGATAGAGGTTTTGTAGATCAAAAGCGTAGGGTGCGGTTTATCTCTGGGTGCATTTGGATGCATTCATTAAATATACACGTTGAAAATGCAGTCGCGGTACGCATTTGTTGATTTTTTTTTTTTTTTTCTTTTTGACAAATTTGCCTGAAAATTGTATTTTTTTAAAAGACGTGATTGTTGATGATAAAGCAGCAGCATGTGATTGTTACAAGGCATGGGCAGAGAAAGAGAACTTAGAAGCATGGCCATGTTAATGTTTGAGATCAGGCACTTTCCCACTGAAACGCCTGCAGCCTTCAGCCCGCTCCTGGAGCCCTTGCCCAGCAAAAGCTCCCACTGACCTCAAAGTACCACTTTGGTAATTGAAACACCGAGAGCGTGCTGCAAGAGAAACGAGGTCGGGGGAGATTGTACTTGGTCAGGACAGCAGGAGTTAAGCTGGAAGAGAAAAATAGGTTCCTGTCTGAAGGCAGCTTGTATCTTATCAAGAAATCTACAACGTTAGGAAAGTTCGCAACAAAACCTATTTTTTTTTCCTCTGTCGCTGTGGTTATTACTCCTTTTGATTAAAAATAAAAAAGACCTGTTTCATATTTGGTACAATACAGGAAGTCAGAGAAAAGCTATTGTACAGCACTTTTTAACCACCAACACACATTTAATATCTAGTGTAGCATTATGGAAAACTAAATGTATGTTTGGACTTTTTAATGCTTCCAAAAAGCTTTACTATTGAAACATATATGTGGCGTGGCAGGATATGCTCATAATCTCACTGTAGTAAAGACAACATACAGTATGACCCATAAGTACTGTAAAAATGCTAACTAAAGAATGCAGCTGCAAAGTTCTATTGCATAAGGAAGCTTTCTTGTTTAAACTTTAAATAAGCAAGTTTATTAAAATATTCTAAGACACTTACCTTACCCTAGTTACTGGCAAGCTCTAATAAAAGCCACAGTCTGTCACTAGTATACTTTTTGTGTTAATTTTATAAAAATTTGGTGTGAGCTTTGATGGATCATTTACAATTTATTAACAAGATGATCATCTTGATACAATTAGAAGGGTTTGGTTGTTTGTTGGGTTTTTTTTGTTTGTTTTTTTTTTAACCTTACATGCTCACAGAATAAAAAAGGATTCATATTCATCTATAACGAACACCCTTTTTTTCCATGTCTGCAAACAAGTGTGGTAAGTTTACACACACAAAGAAATGCGCTTGTTACTCTTAACTGGAAACCGTGTGTACGTGTGTATGTATGTATATATATATTCAAAACTATATATATGTGTGTGTGAGTATATTTATAGATTAGGGCATCTGTTTTCCTCCTTGCGCTTACATATGTGATGACAGCTGCATAGAGGCTGAGAGAGAGACCAGTGCTGCGGAGAAATACTTTGCTTTTTTGCTGTTCGAATCAGCTTCTCCGAGGCAGACACCTTCCCACCGCACTGTGTCTGCAGAGCTGACGAACGACTGAAATTTTGTAAACCACCCCGGCAAATAATTACCTGCAGGGACACGAAGGAAGCTGACTGGAGCCCCGCAAAGCCAGGCCCAGCACTCCAGGGCTGTGACTCGTGACCCGCAGCTGCCTGCTTCCCGCTTTCTCCCTGACATGGGCAGCGAGGCGCCGTGCTCCTGCCCCGGCATGACTTCCAGTCGGGGCGTAAGGAAAGCAGTTCAGATCAGAAACAAGCCAGGGGCACTTGCATTTCTTGTTTGCTGAACCTGAGGTACAAGAAGTGACACGGCAGAGCCCTGGGCCTGCGTTATTTGTGTCAACAAAGTGGCTGTCGTAGCGGTGTGATTGCAATAGGCTCTCTCCTTCTGGCCACACTATAAACAGCAAATACAGTAGGTTTAGCCCTGGTAGAATAGTTACAATTCATCTGTGGCTGTATTATTCTGCTTTGTCCCTTGCACACTCCAGATGAATATTTTATAAAAGCTAAACCTGTCGTATAACTCTTCTCTCTATATAAATATATATATATACATACACTCATACATATACAAATACTAACCCACAGACAAAATATTTTCTGAACAGTTGAATAGCAACAAGTCAACAGATAGAAAAAAAATCGAGTCAATCTGTTTTCTGCTCTCCCAAGGTCCAGTTTAGATGTCATGGTCTTTTAACATTCAGTGAAAATCCGCATAAACCTTGCGTCTTGCAAGAGGAATCCATTAATAAACGTAAGTTAGGGCAGAGGCTGTCAAACACCAATGTATAGTTGGACAGATTAAGTGAGGTTGCAAATTAAACTGAATCTGGAGCAACTGAGGCCTAGTAGTGAAGAACAGTAACTGTAAACTGCAATCTTCAGATCTGATGTTTTCTTTTTTCACGTTGCCATGGCAACTCGGTAGGACAGCTTCAAATGTCAGGAGTTCTTACAGACCTAAATGATGGGAAACGTGTATGATTATTGCTACACAGATCACAGTATCTTTTAATTTTTTTTTTTTTTTACCCCAATTAAATTACTGATTGAGTGCATGCACATTTTTAATTAAATAGAAACTATCCAGCTTCAGAAGCAATTATTTGTAAAGACAGAAACCTCCAAGAGGAAACCCCAGAATGTCACCTGGGGCATTCAGAGACCTTGTAGTGCAATTCAGGAAGATGTAGGGTGGAGGTCTGAGCATAAATCTCAAGCCAGGACCTGATGCTCCCCATCTGACACCTTGATCATTTATGTTAGTGCAAGAGTGCGAGTAAAATGTCAGAGAGTCACTCCCTCGTGTGCACACACGCCAACAAGCAAAGAGCAAAGAAGCAATATCTTTTTAAAAGTAACGTGTTTATAGTCCCTTATAGTTTGTGAATATACCAGGGAATAAGAGAGCTGGCAGGTCATATTAATGTTCCTATAGAAATATGAATCTTATGTGGACGGTCTAACTTTTTTTTTCTTAAATAAAGGCACAACTTGAATGCTTTTAGATATTTTAGATGGGCACTCTGATAATACAAAGGTAGTAAAGAAATTCAGAAAAAAACAGAGATTAGAAGCAAATGTACCAGTTGTAGCTAATGGGTCACTTTCCTCCAGTTTCTCTTGCAAATATTGCAAATATTTGACTTCAGAGTTAAAACACATACGAATAATAATATTAGTGAAACACATAGCTAAATTTGTTCTGGCTCCCCTCAACTATAGCTTCTGATCCTACAGTGTCGGTTTACTGTTTGTACTGGTTTTGGCTGGGATGGAGTTAATTGACTTCATAGCAGCTCATACGGTGTTACGTTTAGGATCTGTGACCAGAACAGTGTCGATATCGATATCAGTGCTATATCTACTGCTGAGCAGGGCTTACAGGGCATGAGGGTGTTTGCTGTTTCTCCTGGTGCCCCACCAGTGAGGAGGCTGGGGGTGCCCAAGGAGCTGGGAGGGGACACAGCGGGGACAGCCGGCCCCAACCGCCCGAAGGGGTGTCCCACACCATGTGGGGTTATGCTCAGCAATAAAAGCTGGAGGAGGAAGGGGGAGGACATTTAGAGTTGTGTTTGTCTTCCCAAGTCACCGTTACATGAGATGGAGCCCTGCTTTCCTGGAGATGGCTGAGCACCTCCCTGCCCATGGGGAGTAGTGAATGAATTCTTTATTTCGATTTGCTTGAGCATTCAGCTCTTGCTTTGCTTGTTAAACTGTTTTTATCTCAACCCGTGTGTGTTCTCACTTCTCCCTTCCCGAGTGTCTCCCCCATCCCGCTGGGGCAGGGAGCAGCTGTGCGGTGCTCAGCTGCCTACCGGGGTCAGGCCACAACAACGCAATGCTCCCTACCCTGGGACGAGACAACTGCTACACCAAGACACAAAAATGTAAGTCAAACATACACACCAAAACTCACAAACACTCAGGAAATGTCTAATATAGATCGCATTTGTACACTTAAATGATGCAGTATCAATAGTTTTGTCACAACTACAGACACGTGTACCATAAACAGTAACATAACTCGTTATTGGATGCTGGCTTTTGCTCTTTGCTTACTTTTAATTATCTAGTTTTCTTTTTGGCCAAATCAAGTTTAATATCATTTCTGATAAGGCTGTTTTACTTTATCTGTTTCTTTCTTGTTGGTATCTTAGTAATATTTGAATTGACTTCGATATTAAATTCTTCCAGTGAGAGGCCTGTCCACCAGATGGGCTTTGCAGCCAGCCGGGCACCTGGATAGCAACAGCCTGTCCTTTCCCCTGCAGCGTGACCTCAGTTCTGTTAAACAAAGGTAAGTAGAGCAAATTAAGCAAGCGTTAAGAATCCGTAGAGGGGACTGATGGATGGGGCTCACTGAATGAGAAGCATCACTGAGATTTCCAAATAAGATAAAATCGAGGATTGCTTAGCATGTGGGTTTTTAGCATGCTGCTTAAAGAAAAGCTCTGGCCACAAAACTAGGACCCAGACTTACATATAGGATATGTGATCATGACTGCCAAAGTTTGGATATATTTGGATTAGAGATTCCAGATAAGACTAAATTCTCATAAACAACTTTTTCTCCTGGGGTAGTGGAAAGCAAGAGTTCAGGACTCTGATCTCACAGACCATCTGAAAAATAGCATTTCCAGATCACAATGAAGCTTAGTATCATTAAAGGGCATTTATTCAATCCTGACTCAAAGGAAATAAGACCAGCTTTTGAATTGGCAAAGCTACTCTGAATCTTTGGGAGATCCCTGGAGGTCTTCCTGCTAAGGACAGGCACTTGCGTATGATGAATGAACAGCAGCTGTAGCACTGAATTTCTGTACAGTCCATAGGCTGAAACTTCACCAGAGGAAGCTGTCAGGGCAAAATTTATAAATGTCACACAAATTCAAGCAGCTAGTGACTGCTTCACCAACAACTTGTAAATAAAGGGCAATATATGTTGATTTATGTGTAGACCTGAAGAAAATCTTGTATATTTTACATTGTATTGACAGATATAATGGGTGTTACTACCTTGCCTTTCCTGAGTAAACTCTATATTAAAACTAGTTAGTTCAGCTTTAATTATAAATATGCTTTCTCCTATGCTATTTTTTTATCAGCTGAAGGCTAGCTTCTCTTTCTCGTGATATAAGCATGCTTTTGATTCTCCCTGTTGCCCCATCTGCCTCTTCAAGCACCACCCCAGCTCTTTTCCTTTTCATCTCAAAGCTCTACAGTCCCTGCCTAGACTTTCTTTCTACTGAAATCGCTTCTCAACTTCATCCTTTCTGACCTATCGGCTGCCTTTGACCCATTTATCACATGCCTGGAAATCTGGAGCTTCCTTCGGCTCCTGTGCCTCCTCCTGTCATTTTACCATGATTTCCCTAATCGCTCTTCCAGCATGTCCTCCTGTCTCATTCTCCCCATCCCAGGTTTCTGGGGAAATCTTGCCCCCACCCCCGTTTAATTGCTTCCCCTTCTCTGTGACACGGTTCATACACGTTCAGCAATCACTTCAGTGCTGACAGTTCAGTGATCTTACTCTTTTTCCATTTAGACAGAAATGTCGACCTCTAGCTCCGATACCTTTTCGATGTTTAGCTGACAGCTCTGCGCAGCTAAGACTGAGCTCTTAAATCTTTTCCCTAAAGCACTCCCTTCTAGTTCTTTCTTTGATTGTTTAGGACAACACTATCATCCTGCCCCTTAATTCAAGCCTAAAAACAGAAACAAACTGGAGGAGGTTTTTGTCACGGAATCTCCTTTCTAGGTCCGTATATTTAGGTTATGTCTTAATTGAGAAGATTATTTTTTTTTTTCACACATCAACCCAAAGGGCTTTTTCAAGCCATTCAAACAGCTAAATCTCCTACGCAGGCTCTCCTCGCTTAGCAGTTTTGCAACATCTTTTCACAGCCCTTGACAAATTCAAGCTCCTGTGCTCATATCCTGACAGTCTTTTGCTGTACAGAGCAGTTTCCTAGTCTGCCACGTTTGACAAAACCTCTGTTACTCTGATTCCTTCACGGCCTCTTCCCTACTGCACATATTTTTCTGGATTATCCCTACATGACCTGTTTTTCCTCTTATTCATAGCCCATGATGACAGCTTTCATTGACATGTTTTTCAGAGAGACCTGTTTGGGCTTCTTCCCAGGCTTTCCCACGTAATAGGAGGAGCTCCCTGCAAGCATCCATAAAATGCTGTCTCCTTAACATCTGCTTTTGCTGATTCATCTACAAAAATCTTGGCAACGACAAAGGGTACCAAGACTACTATGAATTCAGCTCAGCCCTTTCACCAGGTTTAACTGAAGTTGTGTTAAAAGAATTATCTTATTCCAAGCATGGTTTGGAAGGACAGTATATACCCCTCTACTCATTAATGATGATTTGACCCTTTTCTAAAGATGGATTGCTAGAGAAGTAGTTTTTGGCTTTTAAAATGAGATTCAACATACAAAATGATGTGCTGTAAAATTTCGGTAATCGTCTTTGATAGTTCCAGTAAGAATATTTGAGAGCAAATCTGTCTTTGTTCTTTCGATTGCACACAAAGTCGATACAAAATGGCTTATGTCCTGTAGAGAAGTTAGGCTAACTTTCAGTTCCTGTGGTTAATAGCAGTTTACCGGTTACAAATTTACTTCCCAAAAATATTCTGATATAGTCATGTAAGGTATTGTTGGACAGGCGTTCTGGCCAGTAACTCCCTTAATACAACCTTTACAGAAGTCAACACCAACCAAAGTATTGTGCAGAAAACTCAATGGTGACTATAAGCTGATCTGTTGCAATCAACAGAAATGCTCTATTATAAATTCTTTGGGGATCTGATAAGCATCTGGTCAATAGTTCAGATCTCTTTGTTCTCCCGGCAGGATTTCCAATATTCATCACTGTTTTCTGTATAGAAATTGTAGATTTCTTGGGGTTGTTCTGATTTTTTTTTTCCTTTATTCTCCCCATAAAGAGGGACCAAATAAAAGTTCAAAAAATAACATACACACTACCAAACTATTAGGGTCTACTGATTTGAGTCCCATCTCCAAACAGCTAACCTAAAAACTACTGACTTCTAGGATTTATCCACTGACTTCAATGGGGTTGTGTTGATTTTTTTTTTTTTTTTTAATTTGGATCCTTTCTTATGTATTTTATATCACGCATGATTTAAAGTTTGCAGCTGGCAACAGCACATAAAAGATATTAGTATTTAAGGAATACTGCAGGCATTAAATGTGCAAATAATGTGTGCAGGGAGCACGTTTGCTGATCCATTCTAACTATCTCTTTTAAGGAACTTAATGCCCTGGTAAGCCTGTGCCTGGCAGGTTTAGATTTGTACACTAATGATTATTATGCCTAGTAATTATTTTATCATCTTTGTATTGGCTGTTAAGAACACCACTGTCTCTATAGTTGGTCTCGGCATTCAGGAATTATTACACACCATGTGTTGTTTTAAA